AAATGACATAAAAAAACTGATCACAGAATTAATGATAGGAAACTTCCCAACAGAACAAAAGAACTTGACGTACACATCAGTGAGGCATATAGGATGACACCTAGTCATGATTTAAAAAAAAAAAAAAATCTGTATCTAGACATATAATAGTAAAGATCCTGGAAACCCAACAGAAGAACAAAATACTACAAGCTGTTAGAGAACAGAAACAAATCACATGCAAAGGAAAGCCCATCAAAATCACAGCAGACTTTTCAACACAAACCCACAAGTCAAGGAGAGAAAAGAGTGAGGTATTTCAACCCTAAAAGAAAAAAACATCCAACCTACACTGATGTATACTGCAAAACTACCTTTCAAAATTGATGGGGAAATAAGATACTTTCATGACAAAAAACACCTGAGAAACTTCATGAATACCAAACCAGCACTCCAAACAATTTTTTTTTTTTTTTTGTACTCGGGATCAAACTCAAGTCCTTGGGCCGGGGATTTAGCTCAGCGGTTCGGTGGCCTGCCTTGCAAGCTCAAGGACCTGAGTTCAATCCCCAGTACCAAAAAAAAATAAATAAATAAAAAATCAAACTCAGGTCCTTGTGCTTGCAAAGTTGGCACCAGAACCACTGAGCTAAATCCTTGACCTCAATACTGCAAACATTTTTAAACAAATCCTAGAAAAAGACAATGAAGGTCCAATTTAATGATAATGCCAGTACAAAAAAGGAATTTATGGGATAAAATGAAAAGCTCTACGTGGGAAACTCATAACAGTAAATGCCCACACTAGGAAAACAAAGAGAGTTCAAATAAACAACCTACTGCTGAATCTTAAGCTCACAAAAAAGAAGAGCAAGACAAACCCAAAGCTCGTACAAGTAGGAAATTATAAACATCAAAGCAGAAATCAAGCAATGGAGATTAAGAGAACAATAAAAAAAATCAATAAATCAAAGAATTGGTTTTTCAAAAGAATAAATAAAATTGATAAACCCTTAGCCAACCTTGTCAAAAAAAGGAAACAAAGGGCTCAAATCCATGCAAGTACGAATTAAAAAGGTGAAATCACAACAGATCCAGCAGAAATCCAGAGGATCATCAATACCTACTTTGAGAACCTGTACTCTGATAAAATGGAAAACACAGATGAAATGGACAGATTTCTACATACATATGAATTACCAAAGTTGAACAAACAAGATAAAAAATTCTAAACACTCCAATTACAATCAGTAAAATTGAAAATGTAATTAAAATTTACCAACAACCTTGATGGCTTCACTGCTGAATTCTACAAGACATTTAAAGAACTATCACCACTACTCTTTAAACTTTTCAATGAAATTGAAAGAGAAGTAATACTACCAAATTCATTCACTGGAGGCAAGTGTTACTTTGATTCCAGAACTAGGGAAAGAGCCAACCAAAAAGAGAACTACAGGCCAATCTCCCTAAAGAACATAGATGCAAAATTCCTCAATAAGATACTGGCAAAAAGAATAAAGAGGGTCATCAAGAAGATCATACAGCCTGACCAAGTTTAATTTATCCTAGGGATGCAAGGATGGTACAATATACGTAAATCAATAAATGTAATATACTATATTAACAGAGTGAAGGAGAGAAAACATATGATCATCTCAACAGATTTAGAAAAAGCATTTAACAAAATTCAACACCCATTCATGATAAAAACCCTACATAAAATTGAAATAGCTATCTATGAAAAACCAACAGCAAACATCATACTAAATGATTAAAAACTGAAAATCTTCATGTTAAAATCAAGAACAAGACAAGGATGTCCACTATCACCACTCCTGTTCAATATAGTTTTGGAAACATTGGCTAAAGGAATTAGACAAGAGAAAGAAATAAAAGCAATAAAGATAGGAAAGGAAGAAGATAAACTGTCATTATTAGCTGACAAGATGATACTCTATATAGAAGCCCCAAAAACTGCCAAAAGATTTCTATATTTAAGGGACAGATTCGGTAGAATACCTTGATACAAGGTAAACACCCAAAAATCAATAGCCTTCTTGTACACAAATAAAAGACTCACTAAGAGAGAAATTAGGGAAACAATTCCTTTTACCATAGCACCCAAAAAAATGAAATATCTAGGAATCAATCTAATTAAAGAAGCAAAAGACCTTTACATTGAGAACTACAACACTGGAAAAAAGAGACTGAAGAGGATATAAGAAAATGGAAAGACATCCCTTGTTCCTGGTAGGAAGAAAAAATATAGTGAAAATGGCCCTATTTCCAAAATTGCTATCCAGATTCAATGCAATCTCAATTGAAATCCCAACAGTATATTTCACATAACTACAGATAACAATCCAAAACTTCATTTGGAACTGGAAGGGACCTAGCAAAAGCTAATCTAGGCAAAAGAGAAAATGGCAGGGGTGTCACAATATCCAACTTGAAACTATACCACAAAGAAACTGTAATAAAAACAGCATGGTACTGGTAAAGAAACAGACCCAAAGATCAGTGGAATACATTAGAAGATGCAGAAACAACTGCAGACATACTCATCTTTGACAAAGGAAGCAACTATCCTCACTGGACAAAAGATAGCATTTTAATAAATGGTGTTGGAAAAACTGGATTTCAACTTGCCAAAGATTAAAATTAGACCCCTGTCTTTCACCATGCATTAAACTAAAATCCAAGTGGATTAAAGATCTAAATACTAAAATAGAAATACTAAACTTGCTGGAAGACAAGTTAGGTAGAACTCTTAAAGATACTGGTATAGGAAAAGACTTTGTGAATAAATCCTCAGTAGCACAGAAACTTGCACAAAGAATCAACAATTGGAATCTCATCTTATAAAAAGCTTCTGCCCTGCAAGAGAAATCACCAACAGAGCTAAAAGACAACCTACAATGTGGGAAAAAAATTTTACCAGCTGTTTCTTGGACAAAGGTCTACTAGCTAGACTATGTAAACAACTCAAAAACATCAAGGGCCGGGGATTTAGCTCAGTGGTCCTGCTGCCTGCCTTGCAAGCACGAGGTCCCGAGTTCGATCCCTGATACCAAAAAAAAACAAAAAAAAAAAACAAAAAACTGTGGCTGTTCACTTACAGAAAGTGACTCAGACAAGCACCTTTTAGGGATGGGGATTTAGCTCAGCGGTTCAGTGGCCTGCCTTACAAGCACAAGAACCCGAGTTCAATCCCCGGTACCCCAAAAAAAAATTAGCTGCCCCCCCAAAACTACAAAGACCCACTTCAAAAATGGGCATCTGAAATGAACAGATATTTCTCAAAGAAGTAAAAGCAGCAAATAAACATATGAAAAAATGTTCAACATCACTGGCCATTTGAGAGATGCAGATGAAAACAACACTGAGATTCCATCTCACCCCAAAAATAATGGCTGATATCAAGAAATTAACCAATAACTAATGCTGGCAGGATTGTCGGGAGAAAGGAACCATTCTTCATTGTTGGTGGAGTGCAGACTGGTGCAACCAATGTAGAAATCAATATGGAGATACCCCAAACAACTAGGATTAGAAGTTCCATTTGACCCAGCTTTCCTCTGCTGGGTATCTTCCCAAAAGAATTAAAAGAATCATACCACAGCAATATATGCACACCCCTTTTTATAACGGCACAGTTTATAACAACTAAAACTTGGAAATAGCCCAATTCTCCATCAGCTGGAGACTGGATAAAGAATATGAGCTTTTTTATATACTGCAGTACTACTCAGCCACAAAGAATGAGAAACTAGAGATATTTATAGCTAAGTGGATTCAAATTGAGGCCATACTCTTTAGTAAAATTAATAAGTCACACGTGTAAATACCAAATAGTTTTTTTCTGGTGTGAAAAACTAAAAGTGTAAATAAGGATCAAAATGTATCATTGATATTGTGTAATAGGAAGAAAAGGTCTAAAAGAATAGGGGAAATAGGAGGAGCAGAGGAAAGGTAAAACGGGAAAAGAAAAATATGAGAGAAGTTTAAACATGGAAACAATGTCTTTGTAAACAGGAAAGGGTGGAGGGGGTGAAGACAGGGCTGGGAATGGGGAGAAAAATAAGAAACAAGTCATATAAAGGTACAAGATCCCAATGATAAATGTATCTGCATTTTACTTAAAATGCCCCAATATATTTAATGAAAAAAGAATAAATGATAAATTTATTAACATAAAATACTTTACATAACACCAACACAATAAATCTTAATATACATAAGGGAGAAATACTAAAATTTATTGAATTTATTCAACATTCTAAGGCTTGTGTTCAACTGTGCTAATACTTCAAATACACTATTTCAGCAGCAAGCCCAAAGGATATGTATGGATCCCTACTTAACCTCTACTTTATCTCAGAGAAGTTAAATGATTTGCCTAAGATCACTAAACTAATAGAACCAGAATTTAATCGCAGCTCTCAAAACTCAGATTTCTAAAATTTCTAAGAGCTATTTTTCAACTAAGTGTCCCCACTTTAACCACCAAGGTATATTCGGCCCATAAAGCATATTTTGTCCTGCATCCCCTTCCTTCCTCTATAGCCATGAACATCCCTCCTGTTTCCCACTCAGTCAAAAAAAGGAAAAAATGGAAACACATCTTTGTAAATAGGGAAGGGTGAAGGGAGTGAAGGGAGGTCAGGGGAATGGGGGAAAAATAAGAACCAAGATAAGTCATGTAAATGTACAAGATCCCAATGATGAATGTAACTATATTGTATATCTAAAATTTACCAATAAACTTAATTTTTTAAAAAAGTACTTTTTCTAGACAGAAAGTCAAAACCACTATGTATGAGCAGCTCTACTTCCCCATTAGAAACACAAGCTGTTTCCACCACACTACACTAAGACTGTTCTACACTGTTCTAAAGAGGAAATTTTGTTCCGTATTTATTAGTATTTTTCCAGTATTTCTCTCATAGTTGCATGACCATGAAAGTCTGATGTAAAAGCATATGATTATTCATCACTCACAGCAAATCAGTACTTACTGAAGATAAGACTGCCAGTTCACTTTGTTGGCTCGAACTTCTGCAGCCTTGGCAGCAATAATATTGGTAGGGACAGCAGCATCCACAGCACCTCGAATATCCATTTTGGTCATCTAAAGTTTATGATCTTTAATGTTTTTCAGATCTTCAATTTAGATGCAAGGTAAAAATAGAACACCAAGTGTTATTTTTTTTTACAACTACTATTATCACTTTAATGTCCTCAAGCATTCAGTTCAAATATTAAATATCTTAAGTCTGCAAACATTAAATTGTATTTCAAATCTTATCTAATGCTCCATAAAAGGGTTCTATATAGGGCCAGGGATTTAGCTCAGTGGTTCTGCCTCCTGCCTTGCATATGCAATGACCCAAGTTCAATCCCCAGTACCAAAAAAAAAAAAAAAAAAAAAAAAAAAAAAAGGG